TTTTTGCTTTTCCAGCCTAGACTATACTAAATACTACATATGTAGTATATAATTGGAGCCCATTTAAATGCTTGATACGAATCTACATTGCTCTCTGCCGCCCACCACAATCCACAGTCCACGTCCAAGTCCTTGTGCCTTTGTCCAAACTAAATTGAGGATGATATCATTGATGCGCACGTGTTTGGGGCTTGGGGACTGGGGGCTGGGGACTGAAGACTGGGTTGGTATGGTCAGCAATGTGTCTAATAAAAACCGAAATAGCCACAAAACAGTCGCAGTGCCAGGGGAGCCGGTAGGTGCCTGCTTCATGCTTTAGAGAGATGATAATGATAAATACAATATGTATAATGACGCGGCAATTGTTGACAACATCAAGTGCAGAACGTGAGGCGTTCCAGAGACGTTTGAGAGCCATGAGAGCGAGGCAGACATCAGACAAGAGGCATCAGGCAGCTGGCAATACTGAGTGCGCATGAATGAAAGAAAGAGCCGTGCGGGGCCAAACCAGGGGCTAGACTAGGGTTCTTGGCCTCGCTTGTCTGACTGGCCAACGGGCCAACTGGCTGCCTGGCCTTTGGGCTGCCTTGGGCTGCCTTTTACCTAAGTTCGATACTCGAGCGGCACAATAGCGGCTCTCGTTGAAACTCGAGCTCGAAGGCGCGCACACACACAAACACACAGACACACAGACACACACAGACACACACACACACACACACACAGAGACTCGCACATACTCGTGAACAGAGAGAGTCCTCAAGTGGGCACTCGTCGTTGTGGGAGCGAGACGAGCTTAGTTGTGCGCTAGGCTGGCCTTGTTTAACAAATGGCTGCCAGGATGTGCAGCAAATGGTGGTGAGCTGTGAGTTGTTTATTATTGTTGTTGTTGTTGTTCTTGTTGTTGGTGGTTGAATGAGCCACTCATATTGTTGCTGTTGCCGTCGCTGCTTCTGCTGCTGCTGCTGCTGCTTCTGTTCTAGTATCCTTGTTGAAAAGGACATGAGAAGCCACTTAGTGTAAATGCGATGAGCGGGCCGCGCGTCTAAACAAACCCAGCTCTCAGCGTACATCTGTGTGTGTGTGTGTGTTTCTATATATATTTGTGAGTGCTATATACCCAATGGTGGATGGATGCGCCATGTATATATGGCCACTATATATATATGTGTGTGTGAGTGTGTGTGTGTGTGTGCGTGTGTTTTTTTGGTACTTTTCTGCCGTTGGCTGGTTGGACTCGTGTCGAGTTCTTGATGTCTCGTTAGTTGTTGACGACACTTCAGTTTGGAATGTTTAGAGTGCGGCTGACAACGAGAACGTGAACGTGAACGTTACGACCACGACCACGACCTAGAGGACGAAATTAAGGACGTGTGCTCGCAACGCATCAAATAATTATTATGAGCAATACACACAACACAATAGTAATCTGAAGTAGTGCGTCTAAACGATCGAACGATACGACAATTTTTTGAGTGTGCCCCACAAAAACCCCGCCAAAAACAAATCCAAATACAAATACAACAAGAAAATAACAACAACAATTGAAAAGGGCTCAAGTGCAGTGCAAAAAAGAAAAAAACGAAATTAAGAAAACAAACAGAGCTCTCCCGTTTTTGTTAGTGACATTTTTGTACGTACCGGCGCCAAAGTGGCGGAGAAACACAAACGCTCGCCGTCGCCGCCCGCGCACCGCTCGCCACCACAGCGACGCAAGTCCATGACGACAACGACGACAACAACGACGGCCACTCCGCCGCCCGCCAATATGACCAGCACCACAACAACAACAACGACAGCAGCGGCCGTGGAACGCACGCCGCACAAACAGCCGCCAGCGACAAACAGCAGCGGCAACAGCAGCGGACTCGGCAGCGCTGGCAGTTTGCCAGCCTCGCCACAAAGTGCGGCTGCCATAAGTCCTGCCACGCCCAGTACGCCCACAACGCCCAAACGTCCGTTGCGCACCTCGACACCGTCAACGACAACGGAACGGTCGGAGCGCTCAGAACGCTCGGAGCGCCTGGAACGTCCAATGCTGAGCGTGCCCAAAACGACGGCCAGCACCACGGTGCCAACAACAACGCCAGGCGGCACTTTGTCCGCCAGCGAGCATCTCCGCATACCGACGGGCGCGGCAGCCTTCAGCGGCTTCCCCACACTGCACAGCATGAGCAGCCTGATGGTTCCTTCGGCGGCGGCGGCTGCAGCGGCCGCGGCACCCTTTCTGCCCTGGTCACCCATTCTGTTGCCGCCTTGGAGTCATGCTCTGCTGCCAGCAGCCTTTTATCCGGCCGCACTACGCAACGCATTGCCAGGGTAAGCAAAGCTCTGTGATGGAGAAGGGATGGGAGAGGGGTGGAGGATGGGGGATGGTGGATGGGGGAAATATGCCTGGAGTCTGTAACATGCATCTAGTCCCATCGTAGTGGCTCCCATAATATAGCTCTCTTGTTGGAGTTTCAGAACTTTGACAACCTTATATTGATTACGGAAAAGTCCAACTTTACATTGATAACTGAAAAGTCCAATTTATAGACTTATCTTTTAAAAATGCATAAGTATTTCAACTTATATTAATGAGAGCTTCTGATGTATGACTAGTTCCTATTTCGATCAAAAGCCTCCAAATCACGAAAAATGTCCAAGTCGAATGGTTTACAAATAATCTAAATAAGTGGAACAAATTAAGGTCCAAACTTTTGAAATTCTGCGCTTTTTAAAGAAGTTTTTTAATTCGGAAACAGGAGGTCTCAATAATTTACTTTACTAACTGATGGTCTCTTTTGTCGGAACACTTTTATTTGTAATCACCTGATTAATTCAAAAAAAAAAAAGTCCTATAACTAATGGCTATAAAATGTTCATAAGTAGTCCTTTAATTGAAAGGTTCTTGACTTGTTATTCAATATTTCGGTTATCAAGATAACTTTTATGATCGTTTTCCTAGAGACTTCGCCCAGCCCAGCTCACAGAAAAGTCCTACTAATTAATGGCTATAAAATGTTCATAAGTAGGTCTTCCTAGTCTTTAATTGAAAGGGTCTTGACTTGTAATTCAATATTTCGGTTATCAAGATAACTTTTATGATCGTTTTCTTAGAGACTTTAGGCAAGCTTATTAAACATCATCTAGTGATTTGGTTTAGCTCAGCTAGAGAATCACTTCCACTTTTAAATTTCACGCGAGTGATTTCATTTAAAGGGACATAGAACGAGCTATCACATGTTAAATCTCTCAATTATTTTCATCATTTTAGTGCAATATATTAGAAAACAATTTGGTCCAGCAATAATATAACTTAATTGAAGTCAGGGAGAATCTGATTTCAGTCCAGCTCTACTCAACTTCTTCAGAGATATGCTGTAGCTTAGACACTACTACCACTTCCACATATGAGTTCATTCTTTACTTTTTGCTGGAGGTATCTTAAAGAGTTCACATTCAAATGTTCAATATCTCAGTCGCTTTAGTTTAGTTCTACGACTACTTCCAAGTAACAGTTTAGCGAGCGACTTAATTTAGAGAAAGGGCTTTGTAATATTAACAAAACTTGATTTCACTTTTATGATGACAATTCCTAATTAGTTCAACAATGAAGCAATTCATTCTCAGACCCTCTAGTGATCTGCTTCGGCTTTTTTCTACTTTCACTTATTTTTATTTCTAAAGCTGTCGAGCTTTTATAAGTTCTTGAAGATTTCTTGAGAAAGGCTATTTCTCCCTGAACTAAGCTTGATTAAATACTTGAGAAAATTGTATTAAATAATTGTATTAAAATAATTATTATGACGCTTCCTCTGGAGTAGTCTGGCAATAAAGTAATACATTCTGACTGGATCTCAACCCAGCCCAGTCCAGTCCAGTCGAGCCCAGCTCAAGCCCTCTAGTGATCTCTTCATCTCTTCAGCATGTGCTGTTATTTTAGGTTCGCGATACTAATAGCATTTGCACACTAATCCATCAGAGCCCGAAACTGCGGCAATCCAATCAAAGCATTAACTACACTTGCCTCGAGCTCAGCCCGCAAAGCAAATTACCAAATGACCGCTCGAACGAGCGATCGATCGACGTAATTCCCCCGCTCAAGGCTAGGTGCATTGGCGATCAACCGTGTTCGGTATTTAGTGCACAAGTGCGCCCGTTGCACTGGTCGGGCTGGTCTGGGACCAGGACCAGCCAGGCAGGTCTACAGTAAGCCTTAGCCCGAGCCGTGCAACGAAAATTCCCATGGCTGAGGAAAAGCCCAGGACGAGACAACGGCGAGCAGCCAACATGTGTGCGACAGACGATGGTGGCGTGGTGAGGCGTCACACTGTCTGCGATCGCGTCCAGGTTTTGTGGCGAAGGCCAAAGGGAATTCCTGTCCACCACCTGAGCGCGCGTGGGAATTTCGCACACACATTTGGGAAAATTCAATTTGGAAAAACCGGAAGCGCAGCGACCAAACAAAAAGTGAACTTGCGCCAACATGTGTTGGCCCGTCGAACAGGTAGAGCGATTGAGCGATAGAGCGATAGATCGGTTCGGCACTGTTCGACAACGACCCGTGCGGGCTTGCGTTTAATTGTTGATGGTATTAGTGGAAAATCAAATTTGCATTAGCCTCAAGATTTGCCTTAGAGGATTGCTAGCTCACTGCTCACTGGTCTCTGGCCACTGGCCACTGATCAGTGAACGGTTCGGCTCGTAGACTAGGTGTCAATAATCCAGCCTTAATCAAAGTTAATTCCGTTCGCTCCTCGCCCGAAACGTTGGGCCCAAAAAGGTGTGAATAATCGCTAGTTGTGTGCAATTTTTGTCAAAGTCAGAAGACCAAGACCTGTTCGACTACCTGCTGCTCTGGCCGCTTTGGCTGTTGCTTTGTCTATTGCCCGGGCAAACAGGTACCGCCGAACGAGCTGATGAGCCCATTGTGAATGCTTCCGGCCATTCATGACTCGGCACCGGATGTGATCGACTGAAAAATTGAACCAACAAATCGTTTCCTTTCATTGCAGCCTCTTCGATGCCAAGGTGCCCTCCTCGCAGCGTTCCGGCTTCCATATATCCGACATACTCAATCTGGATGGAGCGGAGCTGAAGAACCCCAACGGAGTGGCCGCCGCACACAACCACAGCACAGACATTAGTCAGGCCAATGCTGAGGCCACCAATGGCCACGGCCATCCCACGCCCACTGCTCTGTCGCCCACGCCCAACACAACGCTGCCGTCGGTGGTCGGTGGTGCTGGCACAGCTAGCTCCGAAGATCAGGCCGCGTCCACGCAACAGGCCACAGAGCATCAGACGCAGCCGCTGCAGACCCCAACGGTACAGCAACAGCAACAGCATCAGCATTTGCAACACCACCTGCACCAACAACAGCACACGTCTGTGGCACCTCTTCCCCTGCCCTACAACCACAGCAGCAGCGGCGCCGGTGGCACCCATGTGGGCGCCCACGCACATGCCGCTTCAGCGCAGGCCGCTGCCCATCTGCTGGCCAGTCACAATGCGGCCGCCGCTGCTGCCGTCGCCGCCGGCCAATATTTGCCAAAGAACTTTGCCGGCACCTTCGGCGATGAGATGTCCTCCTACCATCACATGGCCCAGACAATGCTCCACCACACAGGACGCAGTCCGTGGATCAAGGATAATGAGTTATATGGTAAGTTTATTTTCATTTATCTATCGAGCCATTTAAGCACATTTTTAAAATGTAGAAAAATTGCAATTATTTCTTAAATGAAGAACTACTTATCAGTTCAGGATTTGTTAAATGTGGAGAAGTTGAATAGATTGGAGTGCAGAATATAACTAAAATTGTTTTAAATAACACAATAGGTTTTAGAAACCAATGTGGATTTTATTATTCCACGATTTAAAGGTTCTATCGAACATTTTCAACAGCAAAGGGAATGTCTGAATTAAACCGAAAGGAGCCCCAATTTATAGTCAAATAATTGCCTTTTAAAGACGATATCAGAGACGGCAGTCAAATCTGGTGTAATACCTAGTTAATGAAGTCATACTTCTGTTAAAACTATAATGCAACGCACTATGATTAACCGATTTGGGTGAAAACACAGTTTTTGTTAAAATCACGATTTAATCGAAATTGAGTTTAAAGCATTGCTAAAATAGAATCCATAGAAATTTGAGAATTCTCATAGAAATGTGAGCATTCAAATAATAATTTATTTAGTCCAGAAGAAGAAGAAGAAAATAAAAACCGACTACTGACCAAAATCTGCTCCAATTTCTTCCTTAATATTTTACAGTTTAATCAAACCATAAGAAAAGATATAATTTAAAACTTCAAATCAATCCGGAATGACGCTGAAATAGAATCCCAAAAGTGTATTCTCATAGAAATTAGAGAATTCAAATAATAGCTAATGTAGTTAAAAAAAAAAGAAATTAAATTAATTATGACTATGAACCAATATCTGTTCCAAATTCTTCCTTCATACTTGTCAGTTCAATCAAACCATTTGAAAGATAAAAAATAAAATTTGAAATCATTTTTACATCATTTCGAAATGACAGTTAATAGAATCATATTTTGAATTCCACTTTAAGCGAACTCTTCTTACACTTTTTGGATTAGAATCGGTTATTTTTCTGGTACCGCCTGTACTTGACCGTGTTGTGATGTGATTGTGATTTTAAAGTATTGTGTCCTTAAGCGGATCAGTTTTATTTGATCAAAAGTCTTCTGTAAGACGAAAAAAAAAACAAAACACTTTTAAAATATAATTGAAAAAGTTTATAAAAAAAACATTTTTAAATTTATTGTAAAATATTCATCAATTAAAACATTCTGACGTATTTTTTCATGTCAGTCCAGTTTTTAAACAATTTACGAGCCTTCTAGCTTGCATGTTTCAGATCATTAGCCTGCTGGAAGATTGATAGCAATGGCATTTCTTCTGCCGCATATAATGAGAGAACATACTAATAGTAACTTACATTAAAATACATTTCCAAATTATTACGAGAAAATACCATTTATGCCTGTTTATTGAAATGAAATTCGTTCCATCCTCTGATATATCTTAATCTTGTTCGTTTCATTTTAAAACACTTTCAATCAGATTAGTTAATTAATACAAGTTTGGCATTAAAATTTACAAAAAAGAGGTTTACCAAAAGCTTTAATATGAACTTCAACTAGTATATATATTCCTCTAGAAAACAAATGTACAATCCACAAAACTAAAGCATACAAGTATACTATATTTTGCAGCTAAACATTGTCTTAATATCTTTAAAGAATTGAAGGTAGATTTAAAGCTACATTTTAAAGAGGAGAACTATCTTTGAAATGTGAACTTTATTGGCAAAATTCGACAAGTTTCTGTCTGACAATAGCTTGAGAGCTTATTAATGAAATATATGCACATATACTCGTATATGCGTTCTTCAATGCTCCACATTCCGTCACAATTGACTAAACAATCTGAACCATCTTGGCCGAGCCACCATACCATACCACCACCCATCCAACAGCCCATCCAGCTAAGAGCAAGCATTCATGGTCCTCACCATGACAACTCAACAAATTAATAACTTAATATAATCAAATCGACGCGACGCGACGCGACGCGACTTACAGCTGTGAAATTTCCCAAAAAAAAAGAAGAACACACACCAAAAAAACGGCAAACTGGCAACAATTATAATTTGTAGCCAAGGGCCAAATCAACAACAAATAGAGAGAGTGAGAGGCGCAACAAAAAGCAAAAAAGCGAAAAAAATAAAAAATACTTATAATAAAAGCGGAAGTGCGTGCCATAAATTTTCTAGCTACTAAACGTACGAGTATATGAAAGCAATGAATGAATGGCTGCAAAACGGTTTGCAGGCGACGACCCATCAGGGGGAAAAAATAACAAAATTAATCCTCAAGTGTGAAGCGCATACAAACTATTAGTCAAGATTATGTTGAGCAACGAAAAATAAAAATAACAAAAAACAAAAACGAACACACACACACACGTACACATACGACTGAAAAATAAGCAAACTATAGTATTGTGGAAATAAGACTTGCGCCCAGGGGTGGTTTGCACTTCAGTGAAGCACCTGAATCGCCGCTAAAAGGTTTTATTCCGGCAAAGAGGCGTGGTAGCTCGGGCTCGAACTCGAACTCGAACTCGGGCTCTACAGTTCGATCCATGGCTAAGGCCCAAGGGTTAGTGCAGCTAGCCGAGGGGTTTCCACTAAAGTGGCAGCCAGAATGACGAGGACGATGATGATGAAGAGGACACGACAGCGTCGATATGCAAACACAGCTGCGGGGCAATTATAAAACAATGTTATTAGAAGGGCCTTAAATCTAGTCGCCACTCCACAAACTTTTGAGGGATTGTAAAAAGAAGAAACCAATCGTGAATACTAAGTGGGGTTTATGCTTAGAGGACTGTAAAGCTGCCTAGAAATGGCATACTATTAAAATATGTTGGAGATATATTAAATATATATCTTCTAATAATAAATCAAGCCACAAACTTTTAAAAAGAAGAAACCGATTGTGAATACTAAGTGGGGTTTAAAGGAGAATTGGCATAATTATATGAAGAAGTTTTTATTTAAACTTTGTTTTAAAAGATGTTGAAGATATATTACAAATAGTCGTCGATATGCAAATACAATCTAGTCGCCCCTTCACAAACTTTAGAGATTGTAAAAAGAAACCAATCGTGAATACTAAATGGGGCTAAAAGGAGAATTGGCATATTAATACGAAGAAGTTTTTTTTTTTTAACTTTGTTTTAAAACATGTTGAAGATATATTAACAAGTATAAGAGTTTCAAGACTAAAAAATGAGGATTTGAAATCAGTTTTTATATACATTACAAGTATAAGTATTACATAAGTTGTTATAATTCGTATGGCATGACAAGTCTAAGCTGGCCCAGGATATGCTTCCAAAATTGATAAAACTAGCTACTTGCATTGAATATAGTCATATATGGATGTATTCAGTAACTAACTAGTTATATAAAACAGACATATGACTTACGAAGCCAAAAAGTAGCAAAGCACTAGCTTTATTCTAGGAGCTAACCTTTAAAATAAAGTGAAAACATTTACCTTTAAGATCGAATCACTGAGCAATCATAAAGGCAAATCACATTGACAACTAACGGAAAAGATAGCTGTACTGCGTTTCCCAATTTTAAGCTCATTATTGGGTAATCATTTAATGATCATTTTTAAACATTTAAAAAAGTTAAATTTTCAAACAATTTTTTTTAATCTTTGAGGAACTGATAGGATATCTGACCAAGCAACAAACTTGTATAGTTCTCAAATCTTTGTAGCACTGAAAATTTATCTCAAATTTGTTGAAGTTTAATGTTGTTGTTTAATGTTGGAATTTCATGTAATGGAAAACATAGCTGTACTGCCTTTACAAACTTAATCCTCATTATTGGGTAATCATTTTTAACATCATTTTTTTAATCTTTGAGGAACTGATAGGACACATCTGACCAAGCAACAAACTTGTATAGTTCTCAAATCTTTGTAGCACTGAAAAGTTATCTCAAATTTGTTGAAGTTTAATGTTGTTCCGAGATTTTCTTTATGCACAATCTTGGCTTCAATATGATTTCAATTGTTCGGCTTTATAGGCATGCCCTCCCTATAAACCACATTTAGGGCAACGCCCAAAAACTGTGCCGCCCATTAATAAATCAAGGAGGCTGCATTAAAAGTGGGCGTGCAGGCTCGGGCGTACCGGAAGGAACCAGGATAGTCAGGCAGGCTGACAAAAAGGCAACGATCGATCGCACCTCTACTTGTATTTGAGGTTTGGCTTTTGTACACTTCCCATTGTGTGCGATGTCTAGTTTCGCCATAGACACAACATTAATGTGTTTTCATTAGCATGGCATGAGTGTGCGTGTGCGTGTGTATCTGTGTGTGTGTGTGTGTGTGTGTGTGTGACAATGACAATGCGCAATGCGAGAGACACAAGGCAACTACTCCTAGTTGCCTTTTATGTCAAATAGAAATAAAAAAGAACACAATTTGAAGGTCAGCAGTCAGCCGTACAGTCAATGCGCCCTAAAGGTGTATCCGGACTGCCACAGCTACAGCGCCGCAGGGTTGCGACCCATCGTCGAGGTGCCTCGCTGCCTCGTTGCCGCGTTGCCACAATTACAATGCCAGTTCCGGCCAGGTAGTCAGTAGTTGTCAATTTTTGGCCCTTTAATTGATGCTATTAGCTGCTCGCCTGCATCTCGTTCCCTCTATTTTTGGGGTCGGGGTAGTTAGGGTTGCTGCAGCCACAGCCACAGCCACGCAGCCACCCTGATTAACCAAAGTCAGGCATATACATGTACATACATACATATCTATCTATCTATGTATGGACGAGTGTGAGCGCACTTCTAATCCAATTGTGTGTCCTGCACTCGTTCCTCGCCTGTTTACTCGCTGACTTTTACTTTTTGTTGTCGCTCCTTAAATTGCTTTTGCTGTTGCTATTGTTGTTGTCTAGCTGTGCGGATTTCTGCCTGGTCATGGGGTGTGCCAATGCATTAATTTTTCCAAATTGTTGACAAATTTTGTGTGTGTTTTTAACCTTTTAGTTAAGCGAGCGGGTTGCGACCGTTCTGTGTGTAGCTATGGTCACACAGACAAATAATTTGCACAACAATTCATAGCATCTCCGAACTATACATATAGCATATATGATATTACAATCCAAATCGATCAAAATTCTAAGCAAAAAAGAAAAAGACGATCGCTTTAAGAAGCCTATAAGGTATTTACTTTTCAAAGTTTGTTGTAAAAGAAACGTAGTTTGTCTGCAAATTTTTTGCATGTCTGACCGTAACTTAACCTTTTTGCTTGCAACAGTCAATGAAGCTAGATCGATAGATTGTGGTTCCAAATTAAAACTATACACTCCTAAAAAAAAGCTCTATCAGCGCTTAACTCTTTCCCAATCTAAGGAGCCTTAAAATAAGTTCCCTCATTACCATGTTCCAGTTAGAAAGAAACGGCAATTTTTAAAATGATTTCTTTTCTTCTTCTTCTGCAGGCATTCAACAACCCGCCAGTCCAGATAGCACCTCGCCGGTCACCTCGGAGGTCTCCTACACATATATCGGCTCCAATTGCCAAACATCGCCGGCGCTCTCCGGCGACTACAAGAGCTACAGTCGCTCGGCTGACAGCGACGCACTCTCCGTGGGCGATGCTCTCCATACGCTCCATGGAGCACCACCGGGCGCTAACTCGGCGACGCATGGACTGCACAACAACAACAACAACAATAGCATTAAGCATGATGGAGTCGCTGGTGCAGGGGCTGGCCACGACGATAGCCTCAACGAGGACGGCATCGAGGAGGACATTGACGATGTGGACGATGCGGATGGCAGTGGTGGTGGCGGCGCCAATGGCGACGGTATGCCTAACAAGAAGCGCAAACGCCGTGTCCTCTTCACCAAGGCGCAAACGTACGAGCTGGAGCGTCGTTTCCGCCAGCAGCGCTATCTGAGTGCGCCGGAACGTGAGCATCTGGCCAGTCTTATCCGTTTGACGCCCACCCAGGTGAAGATCTGGTTTCAGAATCATCGCTACAAGACGAAGCGCGCCCAGAACGAGAAGGGGTACGAGCATCCGGGTCTCCTACACGGGCATGCCACCCATCCCCATCATCCGTCGGCCCTGCCCTCGCCCCGTCGCGTCGCCGTACCCGTGCTGGTGCGCAACGGCAAACCCTGTCTCGGCGATGGCAGCAAACTGTCGCAGGACTGCGTCAATACCGCGACGGCCATGCAGAATGCAGCGGCGGCCCATCACCTGGTGGCCCTGAATGGCGCGGCCGCCTATCAGCATGCGGCGGCGGCTGCAGCGGCCGGTCTGCATGCACACGCCCACGCCCACCCGCATGCGCATGCGCAGCGGGCCCCCTGGTGGCCCTAATACTGCTAGACCTTTGGGGCAAGTGGCCGCCCTCTGATCGAGTTCATGATGCTTGCCGGCGGCGGGCAGGCAAAGGCGAGGGTAACTCGAATATTGGACAATAATGGGGCGAGAGCAGCGGAACTGCTGGCCAATCGGTGAGGGTTGGGATTGAGTTGAGAATTCGAACAATTGGTGCAATAAAAACGTATATATAACAATAAAGAACAGCAGCGACAGAGCAGCAGAGCAGCAGAGCAGCCCAAGCAGCCACTTACACACTCCACTACATACAAGTAAGCACATGTCTTGTAAGCCGGGTTCTGGTCAGTTAAGTTGGTCCTTTTAGCTGAACTTTGTAAGTGAGGAGGAGGAGGAGGAGGAGCTAACGAGCTCAACATAACATGTTGCATGGGAAGCTGCGCCTTCCCTGCATTTTTTGTGGCAGTTTGTAATAACAGATTCATAAGCTATGGTCAGACAGGCAAATAATTTACTCATCAACTTTTACTTATTTCACAAGTAGGCTTTGACAGTGCGTTCCAAAGAAGCTTTTTAAAGCAGAAAACTATATATTTTAGTATAGAAGTGAATTAAGAGCAATTTGTATGCAAACTATTTGTCCGTCTGACCATAATTTTGTACATAAATACACCCCTACAAACACACACACACACCCACACAAATCAAGCAATGACAAACACAAACAAGCCACTGACAAATTTCAATTTAATGTTTAGCCACACAATCAATATCATAAGTGTAATAAAATGAATTGACAAGTTTCTTTTTTTTCCGGCAGCTCGAAAGCTGCAGGCATTCTAGTTTTAAGTTTTTTGTACACATACCATTTTTTTTTTTTGCCCACCCAAAAGTTGATAATACTTATAAAAACAAATAGCTGTAGTACGGTAATTTTTTTGTTTAGCAGCGTAAGTAAGTCCTGTAAATATATAAAATAAAACAGCATTAATAAATCTACATACTATTCCAAATTCAAGACAAAAAGCAAAACATAAATCAATGGTGTATAAAACGTAGTGTTCAATTTTTAGGCAAAATTCGATATACATATACTATTTTTTTTCCTAATATTTATGTAGTCGTAGTATGTTAATGTATAAATGATAACAACATTTTTTTTTTATTGTGTGTATAGTCAAGCAAACGCTCTTTGAATTTATAGTTGGTAATGAGTTCGTAAATGTTATAACAAATAAAACTAATTATAAACCGAGAAAATGTATTTGTAATACGCAAAAAATTGATAGAAAAACAAACAGAACAAAACAAACAACAACGCAATACATTTCAGAGATTTAATAAAAACATTTACACAAATTTGAAAGAAAGACGAACAAGTGTGTATGAAAATACTTTTTACTTAAAGGAACTGGGATCTGTCATTACTTAAGCTTTCCAATTAATCCAGCTGTTTGGAGAGAATCCTGCGTCTATGCTCACAGAAGACTGCGATGTTCGATATATCGGATAACACAAATAAGATCTTCACTTCGCAGCCGAGTCTTAGAAATACTCGACCAAAAAACTATCTTTTTTCCTCTACAAGGGCGTACACAGCCTTTTCCAAAAAATAAAAACTTTTGATTAAATAATGCGCTAACATAATTATTTATGCATTTGATCAACAGAAAAACTTCAACAAATCCAACTCAGTTCCATTTTAATGCGAAATAGTGTGCCATAATAATGAATGTATGGTTGATTTCAGAGTGCGATATTTTTTTTCTTCTACTTCTTATCTTTATAACACTCTTTTTAAGCATTTTCAGCGATTCTCAATAGCTTTGATACCCCGTTTATAGTAAAACACATAAAAATCTTCTCATTCTTGGTATTTTAACAATGAGCCATTTCTTCAAGTTTAGAAAAAGAAATGAATCCGAACGGACTAAGTCTGGCATATCGGGTATTATTAGTGATTTGGTAATTCATTTCTCATCTTCAAGCGACTTTCGAAATGCAATATATAGCATTTAAACGGAAGAACATGTCTAAATTTATTTGACTCGGCATGCAGAGGTGCTTCCGTTCTTCTGCCTGAGACATACTTTTCACAATTTTGAGATACCCTTATACCTTTCGAATAAAGATTATAGAAACCTAAGGGAATAAATGCTAAGACTTTAGCAAACTAAAGAATTCAGTCTAGCGCTCATTCTTGTTGAGATAGACGGACGTACAGGCTAGATTTGTGCCCATCATCATGTGTTTCCATTTATATTTTGTGACTCGATTTCCCCAAAGACTTGTATAAAGAAACCGCTTAACAGTAGTCTAGTATTATTGGACCCCATAGACAAGGGTATTTGTGCCGCTTGTTATCTCATTGTTTCTTTTCCACACACTTGTTAATCTCATTTGCTTTAACAAGCGTGATTCTTCACTTGTTATTTATTATTTTTTTAAAATTTAATGTGAAAATAATATGTTGATTGAACAACTGTGGCGGATAAGAAATAATACGCGTATATACTAAATTTCTTCAAAACTTATCGAATGATTGTTTGATTGTACAAGTATGAAATGCAATCACAAACTAAAAACTTCAAAATATAATTAATAAAATTGTTGTTTTGCGTGCCATTTTCCTATTTCGCTGGCATGTCGTTTCCAGTGAAAAATTGGCCTAAGTGCTAAATAGATAAATAATTATTTAGTGGAATTTCACCAGAAAAAAGAAAGATCTTTGGGCTGACTTATTTCTCTCTTTTTGAATAAAAACAATATGTACCTGCTTTCTTCTTAGTTTGTGCTCTTCATTTCAAGTAGGACAATATACAACTACTGCATTCATTTAAAACAAGTTTGTTTTCATTTTTATATGAATTAAAACTGTAGAAATAGGCTATGGGTAAGGTTCTTAAAGACCACAAGTTACTTGTTGTTTTGGATGAGTACAGTAATGAGTTAGAACACGAAAGAATGTGTGCGAGATAAAAATTTTTTTATAACAGAAATCCTTATCCTTCTAGCTGTAATGTTTCGGTAAACGCTTTCAATAATGCAATAATGAAAGATAATACTTCTGCCGACATTTCGCATCAAAGTAAAAAGTGTATATTCAGCAGCAGAGGGGAAAATAGTCATACCATCAAGCTTGTTCACTGTGGTTAAATCTTTTCAATAGCCTGAATCAAATATATCTCCAGATACAAGTATAGTGTCTTAAATATTTCAGCACGCACAAAAATAGCACACAAATATCTTCAGGAATGAGAATTCTGATCTTGAAATGAGTCTGACAAAAATATTAGCGAGGTATGAAAGCCTCAAGGGTATACTTAGATTGTTCCTTAAATTATAATTCCATAGAGGATTTGCTTTCAGTTGGGTGTGATTTGTCTTTTCGTAAAATGACATATTCGAAGGATGTTTAAGAATAGTAAAGATTGAAGATAAAGTATAAGTATACAAAATTAAAAAAGACAAAGCATTGTGCCCATCAAAGAGAAAGATCGTAAATCTTGTGGCGTGAGAAACAAATCCCTGCCAATATTTTGAAAGTGCTTGTCTTGGTCGCAAATCAAGGTGCAATGGGTTTATGGCTTAAATGTTAAAAACATATAGATACCGAAATTCCCGACCTCATCGTACTTTTCTCACTAGCTGGTATCGATTTATGATTTGGACTTAAATAGAGAAAACTGATTGGTAATTGTTTCTGGATAAAAAGCCAAACTGAAGAAGAAACTGTGCAGAACTTATAGGGAAGAGAAGCAGCTCTGAATCAATCTCGAAGCCACAGAAATGTTATAACTTAATTGGCACATGTCCAATTTTAAGTGATTTTAGTGTTTCAACACCTACAGAAAAATCAAATGAATATAGATCTATAGATAAACGGAACAAATTGGACTGCATTGGTAAAATATCTAAAATATGCAGTAAGATATAGGAAACGAATACAGCTAGGTGATTTTTAAATTAATAAAATAAAAATGAAAGGAATAAATATAATGGAATAAACAAATTAAATATTGATTATTGATCTGGTATCTAGGGAAGACTAGGGCTATAGTTACTTATGTAGTTCAGAGTACTTGTTGCTGATCGCTAGACGATTTAAAGCAAGTCGTTATAGTTTCAATTCAGCCTTATTTTTGGTTAAACTATAAAATTAAGAAATGCTTTTGTTAACCTTTTTTTTTAAGTAAATATGAAAATAAAACTCCCACTACTAAGTATAACAGCTCATAAAGTTAAATAAACTCAATTGTGACTAATTAGAAAATATACGAACATATTGCATGATTGGTCAATTTTTGTGAGCGAGCTATCGAGCTTAAGTAGTATCTGAGATGTGCTCCTCTACTCTGAACAGACATAGATCCACATCCTCCATATGCGGCCACAACTTGCTGAAAAATCAGGTCTTTGTAATGCACTTCCTTCCTATACCCAACCCATCAACTGAGTATTACTTTCCAATCATACTGCAGAACTGAAAGTCGACCAATCGCAAGGATAATAAATATGATGAGTGCATTGTGCATCAATTGCACGATATATAGTATTTATGGCTGCGCATAATACGTTTTATAGGGGCTTTCAACTACCGTTTGGTAGTTAGTCGGCAGCCAGCGATTAACATCGTAATCCGCTGTTGATTGTGTCCCCCCTTTGTTTGGCAGCCATTCAGAATTGTTGACAAGATAAGCGAGCTCCATAATTATACGATATGGCACACATTGACCCGCCACTCCACTCCAACCCGCCCTATACACACACACACACACTACTTGTATATATACATTATACTTGTATGTACTACATTTATGGGTCATGGGAGTAAGGTTCAAAAATTTGGATCTGCCGGCGGCAAAAGCAGAAAACTAGCGACGGCCGATCGATCACAACTAATGAGTCAGAGTGAGGGAAATTCGCATAGAATGGAGGAGAGGCACATACATACATAAGTGCTCATACATATATGTATATGTATGTATGTATATATGTATGTATGTACATAATGTCTGTGTATGCACACATGGTATGCG